CTGGAAGGACACGTCGAAAGAACTTCTACTCAGTCTTTGCAATGCTTTTGGAAAGTGTTAAGTTTCTGGCAGGTATCTCCTTTTTGTGCGTTCTTTCTTCTTTTGGAGGTATCAGAGACATGAACTGTGGTCTGTTCTGTTGTTTCAGACCTGTGGTCAACATCCCTTAAATTCCATTTTTATAGTGACTATATACCCTGGAGAAGGGGCCTCCTTAACTGCTGGAACACCACTGCATTTCTTATAATTACAGTTAAATTATCAGTGTTCTTTCTACTGTGGTGTATTTATTGTTGGTGAATGCCAAGCAATCAGTGTTGGCTTTCATGTTCTTTGTAAATACAGACAGGAACAGGTCTTGCCTTTGGGTAAGTGAGTTTTTTGTGTGTTTGAGTACTTTATTAATCCTATTATTCATGTTATTGATATATTGATGTGAAATTAATAGCAGATGTTATGGTAGAAGTGATGACTTTCCCTCCAGCAGATTTGGGGTCTTTAACTTTGATTTCTCTGATCTTTCTTCTCATCTGTTTACATGGAAGAAACCAGTAGAAAGCATCGAAGTACCATGGTTAGTGGTCCTGATATGGACATAAAGAATTTAATTCTACTATTGATGGTAATTAGTGATTTTTTTAGCTCTGACATAATATAGTAGCATAGTGTCATGATAACATTTGTATCCATTGCTTGCTTAATTAAGTGAATTAATTTAGGCTTTGCACTGAAATGCCAGCAAACTGTAGTCATCCGATCGCATTTCAAAGTGTAAAAAATCATTGACTTAATGACTGAAAATATCTTTTCTGTAAGTACAGCTGGCTTTATACAGCCATACTGTTATTTACCTGTATGCTGATACTGACACCACACTTAATATTCTCGCTGCAGAAATTCTTATCCATCTGGGTATTTAAACTTTTTTTTTCCCCCCTTCCTGGTGGTGGTCATTGTGAAGCAAACCACAGAACTGGATGGAAACTGAAGGTGGCAGCTGTAATGCAAAATTTAATATTTTTTTTTTTTAAAGAATAAAAAAGAGAAAAAGGACTGGAAGTTTCCCAGCCTCTCCTTTAACAGGGAGCAGAGACAGGAAAAGTAGATAACGGAAATTTGGCAACAAAAGTTAATAAAGTAATAAGGATAATGGAAGTTAATGGTCTGCATTTACCTGCATCTTTGTAGTTTAAAAGACAGGACGTTTTCTTTCATTATTTGTTTGCATTTTAGTTTTATTCAGAGTTCTTCAGCAGCTGTGGCGTACAGTGAATTTTACTGGATTGCATCCTAAAGCATATATTGTTAACTCTTTGATACCAGTTCCTGAACAGTGATTGATTTATGGATTAATCTCAGGATGGTGTATTGAAGCCAATGAAATAGGATAGCACTTTGTGAAGACACCTGTAAATTTTAAACTGAAATAACACTTCTTCAAAAATTCAAACTTGACACTTAGAAAATCTCAGAGTAGTTTTGTGTAGTTGCCTTCTGCATTAGTATTAAATTGAAAAAGGAAATGGATTAAAGGGCATACACTTTCCTCTACCTAATAACCACTAAAATAAGTATTTAAAAATTTCATTACGGGTTAGATCTACAAAGTTGCCTAGATGGTAACCAGATATGGTTCCGTTATTGTTGCAGAGGTGTACTTCTTAATGGTCATAAAGCAGTAAGTCTCCTTATTTAGATTTCCAAACGCATTTTTCTTGGTTTATGTGGAACTTGGGGACACAGGTATGGTACTGAAGATAGGAGAATGTTTCTAAGTGTTTTTTTGTTTGTGGTTTTGTTGATTTAATTTTTAAAATATTTTTTCAAATAACAGTATTTACAATAAAGTCTTGTCTTAGAATTTTCTTCCAGTTATGAAAGAAACTAAAAAATGTGTGTACGTGGAAAAACAAGCTTGTGAATAAAGTAATTTCTCTTAGTTGAACGAGCATGTTTCTGTGATTTTTATTTTGGTTCAGAATAGTAAGAATGAAACCTTGTTTACAGTTTCTAAATGAGCACTTGTTAAAGCTTCAATCTATATTAATGAAAACTCTTGGAATTAAGTATTTCTATTACGCAAAGTTTTGATACCTTAGATCTCTCAATAATGTTTTTTTCACAAAATAGTGTAGGCAAGGTTGGCTTTGCTTCTCTGGAGTGATTGTATTGACTAAGTCTTTGCAATGGCTTGAAGTGATGTTTCAAGTTACTAATAGAAGTATGAAGATTGTATGAAGCATGTAGAGCGTGATAAAGAGTAACTTTGTTAATATGACATGGGTATATGGCCAGAAACTATTGGCTCTACAGCACTGACTTGTTTTCTTCAAAATTAAGTATAATTAAAATACTGTATTCTCTCTTTGCTCATCATATTCATCTGTCTTACTGACATTCTTTTGTCTTACAAGCCATCTGTTAATGGTATTTCTTTTTTTTGCAGTTTGGTACTTGTTAGATAAAAAAATAATAATGTTGGGATTCCAGTATGCGTTTCTACATTGGTACTTTAAAATATCTTCTAGTTTCAGTAGCAGTACTGTTGGGTTGGGTTTTTTTCTTTTCAGTGCTTACTGTTGTTATTTCTTCTGTTGAATGTGCAACATGAATGGAGAATTCGACTCTGGGAGATTAACTCTCAAAGAGTTACTTTCAAATCTGGAATATTAAAAGGTTTTTTCTTTTCTTGCAGACCTTACAGTCATTCTTAGTATATTAATTTAGTTTTACATTATATTATGTGAGGTTGTTTTTAAAGGAACCAGAGATACAATTTATATAATTACATACCTTTGTATTTCTTTTTCCTAGTACCTCTGGTGCGTTGTTCAAGACAGTAGTCTGCTGACTCTAAGGCAATTCATGTTTTTCTAAAAGTTTTAGACTGTGCTCAATAATTCAGTAATGTGCCATTATTACCAATTTAATGTATTCTTGCCATTAAACTTTCATTTCCTTTGGTACAGTTAAATGTCATTGAAGCCTGAACTATACCAAGTTTGTCTTGTATTAAGATGAGCAATTCAACAGTTCAGGCTTGAAATTCTAACCAAGCAGGTTAAACATCATTTCAATAAACTGAAAATATAGGTATTACAACTGTGTTTGCACTGGGATGAAACTGTGTAGGTAGATATTACTGTTTCAAAATCTTCATATTTATATACTAAGGTCCATCACACTGTTCATTACTACTTTTTGCCATTCTAAATGAACATTATGAGGTACGAAAGGATACAGCTTTCCTTTTATGCTACCGAGGCTTTAATGAAGAGAGGATTAATTGGAAAATAAGTTTCATAGGAGGAAAATGTGTATTATATGAAGTTTTAAATCATACTTTTAAGAACCAATTTTTAAATGACTATTTACATACCCTCCCTTTAGTTAAAGCAGGAAAATCCAGGTGAAATATTAGACCCCTTTCCAATGGAAGATATTTTCAGCTTTGTAGTGCTTGCGTGTAGCTTGTGAAGTGACAGCCTTTTCAGTACTCAACAGTATCCAGACTCTACAGGAATGTCATGAATAGAATATCCACCTGAATTTCCTTTATTCTGCAATTTGTTGACTGCTTTCCAAAGAATCCTTTTTTGGTTTAGTCTAATCTCAAAAATAAATGGTTTATATGGTTTCTCTGTATGTCTTGCTCCCCTAATTAGTTTCCAGGTTGTTTGTTATTTTGCAGAGAGATAGGGATCTCAAAAATATCGAGTAATTAGAAGTGTGATGCTAGGCAGAGTCTCAAATTAGAGTCTCGAGTATGGGGGAAGGTTGAAGCATGAGCTCTGCTGTATTAAGAATCAGAATCCATGTGGAAGAGAGTTGGTACAAGTAAAAGCCACAGGGAGTCAGGCTGCATGATTTTTGTAGTTCAGGGAATAACTTGTGTGTCTTGTTCTTGGGTTTTGATATGTACAGCACAACACTGTCATCAGCTACAATTCAGTATCAGCAGAACTAGTTTAATTGTACTAGCTGGTTTTTTTACAGTGCTTTGTGACTTTGTATCTTTGTGGATATAAACAACCACAACAGATGAAAATAGCAAACTGAACCTTACTGCTTCAAGGCAAACAGGTATTTCCCTCAGTAGCTTGCACTTTTCCTCTATTTGCAAATGAATTGTTCTAAAAATATTTCATTTTCTTTTCATATGGGGGGGGGGGGAATTGCCACATTTTTTCTAAAAGGATTATGCCAAACTTATAATGATGACTGCTGGGATGGCAGTCAATCGCGGTTTCATTTCTAGACTTCCATACTTCTTAATGGAAAAAACCACTTCTGTTCCACGGTGTTTTTCTTACTAATAATTTTTCAAAGGTATTTGTCAGTTAACTGGGACAAGTGGACTTCCATTTTTGTAAGTTCTGTGAAATTACATAGTTGAGAGCATTCCCCAAATCAATGTACCTAGTACAGGAAGCCGGAGGCATGAGCTGAGCTGTGTGGCTAGGCATTAACGAATCCAAAAAGAAGAGATGTGTAATAAAAGGCAAAAAAATTAGTCATCATACTGTATAATTTTGTCATTGGCAGTTATGCATAATGTAAATTTTACATATATATATACACACACATATAATATAGGGATCGTGACATCACTTGAACAGAGTGGGACATCAGAGATTCTCTCAGCAAACTAATTTTCAGTATGTCTTTTTGTAGAATGTGTTTTAAAAAATGAATCATTTATTAGAAGAAAAATGTCTGAGATACTTGGAAATTTTATCGAGTCAATTGTATGATCTATACAAATCTTCACCATTTGAAAGGGATCATTTAATGGAAAAGCGTGTCACCACCTTATGTTGATATGAACTTGCAGACATGTAAACATTAATATATAGAAATGTCATATTTGAAAGCAGAACAACACTAGCAAATTTTCCAGTTCTAACCTTTGTACTGAGTTTTCTTTACTTTTTTTTTTACTGTTAGATTGAATTACATTTAAATCGTTTTCCTTAACAAAACCTTACAGCTTTGCTGAGAGTGCCCGAGAGCAATATGAAAAATTGTCCAACATGCACAACAACATGACTAAATTGTATGAAAATTTGGGAGAATACTTTACCTTTGATCCCAAAGCAATAAGCATAGAAGAATTCTTTGGTGACCTGAGCAACTTCAGAACTCTGTTTATGGTGAGTAATGTCTGCAATACATTATACATATTCTTATCTCTTCTTTCTCCCAATTTTAATTCTTTCCTCTTCTCTCTATTTCTCATGTTATGGTTAACTTAATATTTTGTTCTGTGGCAGGAAATTGGATGAATGTTTCTAGAATTATTTACATTTTGGTCACTGATAGCTATCGTCCTCCAGATGTAACTTGCCAACTCAACTGTCAGTGAGGTGGAGACACATGGGTAATTAGAAAATATTTTTCCTCTTTCAAAAAACTTGCCTGTTGGTTGATGCATAACAGGCAGGATACTGAAAAACATGATAAAATCAAGGCCTGAATTGACGTGTCTACATACCTGTTGTGTTAGCATCTGGCTGATGCCTTAATGATGCTGTGATGCTAAGGTTGAGTATTTCAAGATGTATTGCTGACACAACTTATGAAGTTCACTTAGATGCTTATATTAGTATTTCCAGTCATTCAGGGTGGTTGATGTCAGGGTATGGCTTTTTTATGGAGGAATTTAAGAATTTCATTTTAAACAGCTAAGTTTTTTAATGGCTTTAATGTCATCTTTCCTAGCGGCTGTCTGGGAGCCATAATGAGCTGCACCGTAGGAAGTGTTCAGAGAAAACAGATGCCTAGAATGTCACATTGTGTCTCTAGAGAATATTAACATCACTTGTAAATACCACCGTTTACCATACAGCTGTGGCTCACTGATCTGTCTGTTGCCTGTAGCTGGCTTAATTTATCATGTAATCACAAGGACTTTCAGTTTCAGTGTGATGGAGAAATAACCACTTTAAAACATAGTTTTCATACCAAGTTTACTTTATTAGAAAACTTCTACAAAATATTTAGCTATTCATTTTAAATTGGCTGATTTTTTTTTCTTTTTTTTGTAAGCAAATTACCAATTCTTTTATAATTAGTAAGTATGCCAACACATCTGCATGAAGACACACAAGAACAGGAATACTTGTCATGAGATATTTCAGTGCATTTACTTTTTCATAAAACCAAGGCTTACATTTTTGGTGATTTTGGAAATTACTCTATTGTAACTACTTGAAACAGACCTCAGACCAGCAATGTCCAAATACTGTGATGAAAATCTGTCCTCAAGTGTGTATTTAAACTGCAATGAAGGTCATAGGATCTTGAAGGCAAATGTTTTCTAGAAGGCTTATTAGAATGAAAATACTTCCAATTGCTTACTTATATTTTCCTTCCTTTTGATTTTCTAAAGATGTGGCTGATGGCCTGTTGCTCTTCAGTGGTTATACTGGAATTTCTGTGGACAATATTTGAGATTCATATATTGCTTTGGAGTGACTGTGTGTGTGGGGTAGTGTTTTCAGTGTGTGAACATTAGAAATTAAATATCAAGTGCAGTAATTCTTCTAATAACAAAGCTGGAATATTTTTGTGACCTTTCCAAATGAATCAAAGGCAGAAAAAACCCAACCTACTACGTGGGGGAGGGTTGGGTTTTAGTTTGTTTTTCTTTAACTTGACTGAATTTCATGAAAAGTATTTGTGAGAATAGCCTGTCTAATTTTAGGTTTCAGTGCATCTCTGATGCCTGTACTTAAGCAGTGATTCTTACTTGGCCTGAATTGCCCTTTTTTTTTCTTTGCAAATATTTGCTAATTTACTTCATTTAAATGAGGTTTTGTTTTAGGAACATTTAGTGAAATACTTTATTCACGTGCTTCCCAGTCTAGATTGTTCAAGTGGTGTATTTCATGAGAGAAGAATTTTAATTTCAATTGAGAACTCACTTCATTTGTACTTATAACAAAGCTCCAGATACGCAATTCTCACTGTTTTAGGAAGCTGTCAAAGATTAGGACAGTGCTAACTTTATTTTTAAGCACTGAAATAGCTAGCAGACACAGTAATGAAGGTATTGGGACCACTTGTGCAAACTACTGTTAATTATTATTTACACCTAATCCTCTGGCTAATGCTGTATAACACATGTATGCATCTTACTTCTGCAAATACTTGTCTATGGTTATGAAACAGTGGTGTAAATTGTATAAACTACCCTAATCATTTATACTGAGAAATATTATTTGGGTTTTATTTGCCAGCATCTCCTTTATTTTGCTCTTTATATGTGAGTGCACAAATACCTGCATTCTAAGTACTAGACAGTACTCAAAGCAGACAGCAGACTTGCCTTGATTTTATTATTATTCAATAGGAGGGGAAGAGACTGTTGTGAAAGTGTTTGGCACAGTTAAAACACCCTCTGTAGTCGAATCCTTTTCTTCTGCTAGATTTGATCTTGAATAAGCAGGTTTTCTATGTTTTCAGCAGATTGGAACTACTCTGCTTTTTTCAAATGTAATCTGTCTTTTGTATTTCTTTTATATACTAAATCAGTTTTAATGGACTTTCCTTCTGTGTTGTTTTTTTTTTTTTTT